CCATATGATCTATCAGAAACAGACAGACAACGAATCATTATTGTGATAAAAAAAAAAAAATTCAACCCGAATTCTACTAATGTAGGCCTATGTATGTGTGTATGTAATGGGATTTATATAATATTGCTTACTGCTTCAGTATAATACAATTCCCCTCTTCTACATCTCAAAAGCAAGAGGCATAAAGCCTGGTTTCGATAAGGTTGTTACATGCTATCACAGTCAACTGATTGGTTGGCGGTCGAATAGGAGAGCCCTCCGATTGCGTAGGCTGATAATCTGTAGCGATTGGAGTAAAAATACAGTTGCGACGTAGTGATCTTATGGAATCAAGGCTTTAGAGTACAAGCCTCATTCAATGGAAACAAAAAAAAAATAATTAGGCCTAACCATGTTAATAAAACTATGTAACTCTTATTCAGACTATCATTAGGCCCTGTCCAGACTATCAAATTATATTTGAGAAAGACATGTGACATGCCTAAATATGGTCACGGTGACATCACATCATGACCATATATAGGCATATCATGACCATATATAGGCACATCATGACTATATTAGGCACATCATGACCATATATAGGCACATCATGACCATATATAGGCACATCATGACTATATATGGTAGGCACAGTTTTTTTTTGTCAAAGAACATTTAATAGTGTTGGCAAAGCTTTAGTCGTTCTCTCAACATTATTATTATTATTATTATTATTATTATTATTATTATTATTATTATTATTATTATTATTATTATTATTATTATTATATTTACTATTTCCAAATTGAATAATGTTATTATATGTGATAGATATCCTTTTTTTTTTGCTTAGTTTGAATTTAACTTGTGTATTAACAATAAAAATGCAGCTTGTTTAAAGAATAACTATAATATTTATGTGGTCGTGCACACTTGACGAAATATGCTGGCATTAAATCACTGACTGATCAACACCATTCTCTATACGAGTATTCCTGTATCTTCATTCCGGCTTCTTTTTACTCTCATCTTTTTTATATAATTGTATAACAATGACTGATATTTCCAGGGAAGTGATCAATGTTTACACATGGTTGGAGCACAGTGGTTGGACCACAGCTCCACCCCGGTGGTGAATTGCACCACGGTGAGACAATAATAATAATAATAATAATAATAATAATAATAATAATAATAATAATAATAATAATAATAATAATAATAATAATAATAATAATTCCATACTTCTATAGCGCATTCCGCAAAAAGCCTCAATGCGCTTTATAAAAACAAAACAAGCAGTAAATAAATTTTGATTTAAACTACGGTACTTAAAACAGTTCCGAAAAAACATTTGCGCTATTGGTATAAGTATCCAGAACAGGGCTCCACCCCCCCCCCCCCAACCGATCGCTGTCACATCCTTTATTTTTAATGATGGTAGACCCTACTGCCTATGTCAACGGGCACATAGGCCATGTTGCTCAGTAAAGCAACGGCTTATCCTTTTTCCGCAAAAGAGTGTGCATGCATTTTTGCAGAGAAAGCTGCTGGGACAGATGCAGGCTTTGGCGGTAGCGGGTGTATGATAGTCGACACCACCTCAGCCCCACCATAGTTGGTGCTGAGATGAAAAAATTTTGAGAATATAGACCTCTAGGTGCCCAGAAATTGCACTCTCATACCTTAAAAAATTTACTCTACAAGAATTATTTTTCTTAATACACCCCTTGCGACCCCCTGCATCCGCCCAAGAGTTGCTTAAAGGAATAGTACCAGGTTTTAGCAAAAATACACTGGTTGTTACATTAGTTTTAAATCTACACTAATCTCGTGTAGCGGACGAATCTTAGGAATTTAGTAAACACTAATGATTTGTGTTTTGTTGACATTATTGATACTTCTGCTGGTAGTTACAATACTCTCGCAATTTTCGAGGAGTTTAATTGCGATTGAAACGTTTCCCCATAAGGAATGAAGATATTCAAACAAAATAATTGCAACAGAGAATCGGATTGCGGTTAAAAAATAAAAATACCATAAGGCACACATTAAACAATGCTGTTCTATTGCTTTAAGTAATAGATAACTGTTAACACTTTTTTACAATGTTAGAATAACGTTACAATATGTTTTGATTTTAAATATATTACAATTCATATCATCAGGAAAAAATATTAATATTAAATAACCAGCTGTTTTTATTTTCTCCAGCCATGTCATAGCTAGCTCCTAATGTAATGTTGGATTTTAATATTAACATTTGGTTTGTTTCATGATAAGTGACATTGGTCCTCAATAAAGATTTTACTAATAGAAATCTGTGCCATGCGTACTACAATATGTTTTGGTTTGCTCTTAGACTTATTCGGAAAACTTCATTATACAGCAATGTGTATGGGCATGACCCATTTTTGTATATTAGAACAAAATTGTAATACCACCAGCAGACCCTTATTCACGTTATATCTCCTCTCTATAGACATCCTTAACCTTTACTTACTTACTTACTTACACCATTTTGTTACTATGCCTATTTCAAAATGTAATAAATTGGCTATGAAACATACTCTTCCATTGCTCCAAGTCCAATTTCAATTCGTCATGCAAACAGTTTTGTTATCACATATTCTCTTTTCAAAATGATCTTTTTCAAAAGATGCTAAATAAATGTTTATAAAATCTATTATTAGGACGTTAAATGTACATATATCTAGAATATAATCCAATTGATATCATGTTAAGAAAAGCCTCTGAAGCCCCAACAGGATAGTAATTAATTAACTTATTCGAGATCACAAGTGGTTTTTCTGGTCCAATAGCAATCTGTGAAAACCAGTATCCTATATGCAAGGATTTTAGTACAAAACGTTCAGTTTTAATGTTCCGCGTATCATAGGTCTGTTCGGATTCGCATCATGACGTGATGCCGACAACTTCCAGTTTTGTGGACCTTTAGTGTGACAACAGGCTTTAGAATGGTTTTCGTTAATTCCTATTTTAGATGGTTGGTTTGATTTTTGCTAGTTATTTACATTTCGTC